CCACATAAGCATTAAACACACAGTATTAACTTTAATTGCTACGCTTAGCATTTTAATCCCAAACTTTGGATTCTTAACCTTCTCAATTTTACAAGAATTATCATATTTTGTTATATTTTTCGGAGAACCTTTTCGGTACGCGCTTTTCATAGCCAGTATCAGTTTCTGGCACCAGTTCTCATTATCTTGACTTGAAACTCGTTTTACAAGTCCTATAAATTATTCTAGGAATTATCATGCACTCATTCTAATTTTTCGGGATACTTTTTCGGTACGCATTTATACCGCTAGCAGAACCGGTATCTGCACTTTTCTTCCGAAAAGTGACTTTCAACATTCTTATTCACTTACTATAATTATTAAAGCCTCTTAATAATTATTAGGGTCAATTATGGAATCATTTCCTAATTTAACATAAGTAATTACTTAATTTCCTTAATTAACGGTGCGGGTTCTTACATTCACCTCACCTTTTTAGGATTTTGTCCTCAAAATCAGAAAACATACCTGTCTCGAAACTCGGGGTATTGCCGGAGAAGCTCGTCCTCACGCTCCCAAGTACACTCCTCAGGAGTTCTTCCGGTCCATTGCACTTTGACCATCGGAATGATCTTGCTCCTCAGCTGCTTCTCGCCACGATCAAGAATCTTGAGTGGGCCGACGGGAGTCTTTAGGTTCTCCCGAACCTCAACATCATCAGGTTGTACCACGTGCGACGGATCTGCTATGTACTGCCGAAGATGAGACACGTGAAACACGTCGTGGATGTTGGCCAAGTTAGGTGGCAAGGCAAGCCGGTAGGCAACTGGTCCTACTCTACCAATGATCCGGTATGGCCCAATATATCGCAGGCTCAGCTTCCTCACTCCGAGTTCTCGACCAATACCGGTGACAGGTGAAAGTCTCACAAACACGTGCTCACCCTCACTGAACTCCAGTGGATGATACTTGACATCATAGTAGCTATTCTGGTGATTCTGCGCCTGCTTCAACTTTTCACGGATCAACTGGATCTGCTGGGTGGTATCTTGGACAAAGTCCAAGCCAAAAAGCTCCTTGTCCCCAACCTCAGACCAACAAGTAGGAGTCCGACACCTCCTACCATACAGTGCTTCGTAGGGTGCCATGCCCAGGCTAGCATGAAAGCTGTTGTTGTAAGAAAACTCAACCAACGGAAGGTACCTATCCCATGCCGAGCTCTACTCCAACGTGCAAGCTCGCAACATGTCCTCCAAGGTCTGGATGGTCCTCTCAGTCTGTCCATCAGTCTGAGGGTGATAGGCGGTACTCAATCTCAACTGCGTACCAAAAGCCTCCTGCAGCGCCTCCCAGAACCGAGATGTGAACTTCGGGTCCCTATCACTGATGATACTCTCGGGCACCCCGTGAAGCCTCACAATCTCGCGAACATAAAGCTTGGCCAACTGCTCTGTAGTGAAGCTCACCTTCACTAGAAGAAAATGGGCAGACTAAGACACTCTGTCCACAAAGACCAAAAAAAAAAAGTCATAACCAGCCTGAGTCTTCGGCAATCCCACAACGAAGTCCATGGAAATACTTTCCCACTTCCACTGCGGTACAACAAGAGGTTGAAGCTTATCAATGGCTTCTGGTGTTCAATCTTCATTTTCAGGCATCAGTTGATGTATTGTTTGATTCTGGGGCTACGCATTCGTTTGTTGCAACCCCGATTGCTTTGGGGCTCGAGTTGCCCATGTCTGTGCTTTCTCCACCGTTGCGGGTGACTACCGCCATCGGAGAAAAGTGTGATGCTACCACTGTACATCGAGATGCCGTGTTTCAGTGGGAGAGCCGTGACTTCTCGGTAGATCTGATAGGGTTGCCGATGGCTAATTTGGAAATCATCCTTGGCGTGGAGGGATTGTCCAATAGTTGATTGATTGATTGATTGTTGTGCCTAGCGAGTGGTGATGTCTCTGTGTGATTCCGCAGCTAGTTCCTCGCCGTACATTTCATTGCTACAGGCTATGAAGGCCTTGAGAGCAGGCCCTCTCATCTAGTACAGTGTGGTTCGAGGACGAACAAGGCGAAAGCTGGTGGGCATGTAACATCCCGAGCGCTGATGAGGACGGGGAGTGATCGCCGGTGCAAAGAGGCACGGACAAGGAGCGGCTCCTGACAGGCTTCCAGCGGGGGGTTACATGCATGAATGAATCGAATCGACACCCGGAAGAGAGGGATTCCAAAGGCTGTGCAGGTATAAGACTGCACAGTTTAGGATAGCTTATAAGAATTAATTGGTACTACCTATGCTAACAAGATGCATCTACTTTTCAGTAGCCCGGAACGAAAGAACTCCACAGTTAAGCGTGCTTGACTTGGAGAAATTCTGGGATGGGTGACCTCCTAGGAAGTTTTCTCGGGAAGTGTGCGAGTGAGGAAAAAGCACACTGAAAAGTCTTGTGTTAGTATGTGGGGATAATCATTGATTCTTGAAGCGGTCGGGCATTACAAGCTGGCAGGTTGAATCTGGTAAAAAATAGTTATCTCTAATTAGGTGCAATGAACGAGTGGAATACCTTTTTTTATGAATAACATCGCTTCTCTTTCACTTTTTATAAGCACTTTCAAAATTTTGTTTTTACAGACCATGTTGCATATCATATAGTAGAACATATTTTCATATTTTAGAGAGGGGCGGAGGCCCACCCTAGCCCCTCATGTAGGTCCGCCCCTGCCAATACTATCTTTGAGAGTAAGTTTTGTACCAATCTCTACAGTACCATCAGAATCAACATTTAGTGCTGGAGGAAGAGTTATTGATGTCTATCGTTCTAGCTTGGCTAAAGATACCATCCAAGCTTTAATATACGGTGGAGATTGGCTATGCAGAAGGTATGACTTGAAGAAAAAAATAAAAAGTATAAATTTGATCAATTGAAATTATTTTATAATTTAATTATATTCGATTAAATTTTAATAGAAATTTGACTTTATTTTTTATGTAGGAGGAACCAACATCTAAGCATGTGAGATTGCCTATGTGAATCTATTAAAAGATTTTTTGTTTCTTAATCTTTTTTTTTTGTTTCTATTCTTTATTCTTATTTTTTGTTTTCTACATTTACAAATTGTTTGCTAACTTATGTAATCTTGGAATTGTATTTGTAGGGGAGAGAAGATGAAGAGAAGTTTTTGGCTACTACAAGCATCATGATGTGTTTGTTGAATTTATGTAATTATTTTAATTTGCATAGTATAGATTTGTTTATTGGATATGATGAAATATATGTTATTTAGTTTGAGCATTTTGCTTTTGAAAGTGACTTAAATGCATATTGTGATGAGTTTTGTTGTGATTCATGGTTATATTTGGACGTTGAAATTGTGATTTTTGTTTTAACAACAAAATTTGAGTATTTTGTGAAGTTGATTCATGGTTATGCTTGTAAGTTAAAAATTAAAAGGCTAACGGGCTAAGGTAGGCTATTTATATTTTTTATAAACGGGTCAAGTCAGGCTAACAGTTAGACTTGTACTAGGCTCGGGCCAGGCCAAATTAAAATTTTTTGGCATAGATTTGAGCTTTTCGAAGCAAAACTCAACACAGCCCAGTTCAGCCCACTTTCATCCCCATTCTCAAATAACATATTTGAAGCTTATTATTATTAAAACTATGTTCACATGATATCATAAAAGATATCAAGGTTGAGTACATAGGGTCCACATCATCATCATCCTGATTTTGCAGTAGCAAAAACGACGTGTAAAAAAAATACTATTATATATAGGTGCTGGTTTAATAATTATTTTTAAATTCCCATTTCAAATAATATCTTTAAGGGATTATTGTTTCTCGTATTATAGGAGATAATTTTATCTTTTACGTATACATAAAAGTACGTGGGCTCTATATGAAACCATACCAAGAGAAGAGTAAGAAAAAAATAACACGAGCCTGATACATTTTTATATAAATATAAGAGATAAAATTATTGTGTACAAGACATTGTTTCTGTTTCCAAATACAAATTTTTATGTATATCCCACGCACTGAAATTTTAATAAATATTTTAACAATGATGTGTTGTATCTTTGAAAAATCAAAATAAATAAATAAAGGGTTTTGTTTTTGTCATGTTACATGACAAGAGGCTATTTTCCTATACACTCATAATATATATGGGGTCTACTAAATAGTGAAGTGAGAAAAAAAAATCAAAGGTGAGTCCAACTTAGACGTGTGTGTAGAAAAATTGAGTTCTTGTCATATAACATGACAAACTATTTTCCATTAAATAAAATGTACGCATGTCTTTTTCTATCATAAAAGATAAAATTATTTTTTTAATTAAAACATTAATGTAACGGTCACCGTCCTTGTTACTAACGATTGAAAACGTCGATTTAACAATATAATAGTAAAAATCCTAAGGTAACAAAAACATATTATTATTCAATACTAGATATATAACTTTAAGTGATTAATGTTTTTCATATTATAGAAGATAATTTTATTTTCTACACACATGAAAATATGAGATCTTTCTCTTCTCTTCGCATGGACTCACATGAGCTTCATATACTTTTATATATATTCTCTCTTAAGAAACATTAATCCAGTTTAAACTGGTGGGTGCGGGTTTTTTAATGTTTTATATTATTCTCTAACATGTCCTATCACATGAGAGTCTATTAGACTTGAAGAGTGAACAATGCACAAGCTCATTGTATTAAGAAAATTTCACAAGAAAAAGAGGCAGTGAAAATCAAATCTATGATACCATGTGAAAACAATTGATGCGTTGGATAAATATCTTTTCAATAGTTTATATTAATCTTTAACACACCTGCTTAAAATCCCCAAAACAATTGAAAAGTTAATTAAGCTTATTTTTATAAAGATGATACTGATAAAATGTGATGATGTGTATTTAAGTCTTATATTACGTTAGTGCGATGTCAGTGTGAGGAAAGTGAGTTGAGATAAGAGGAGACTTTCCTTGTTGGCGTCCATAAAAAATATCATAAAAATGCATATCATACTTCATAAGGAACCAAAGCACACCCAACAACCTTTGTGACTTGCCATGTCTTCTATTGTGCAAAATCTAAGCAAACCTCTTTATATCATACATGTGCATGATGAATTCTCATTCAGTTTGAGCTGATATCGAACTGGGTCACCACTTGTTCTGTCTAAATTCTGGTCTCAGATTAGAGTTTTTTCTTTCGTTCTTAAGGTGAGAGATTCTCTAGAATTTTTGAGCTGCTTCTGTTACCCTGATTTGTAATATGATGTTTTGGAATGGAAGTGATTTTTATCATGAATTGATTGTGCTTTCTAAGTTGATGGTGATGCTGCTTCTTGTTTCAATTACCAGATAAAACAAAAAATTAATTTTTTTCCTCTCGGGTTGGTTTGTTTGAGTTAGTGAAAATGGGTTGGTGTTGATAGTAATGGCATGTTTAACTGTGAGAAATGATTTTCTCCCTTTTATGGTTTATATTTAATCAGCTTTTGTTTTCTGGCTTTGTTTTTCAGTGGAATTCCCTAACCAAGGAAAATGGTGGTGTTTAAGGTATACAACTGTTGCATATAAATTTAATCTTTTTCTTTTATGTTAACTGGGTTCAAGGTTTAGAGTATGGTTCCAGAATTGAGTTCAAGCAAAAATACTAATGGAGATTCCTAATAGCCTGTTTGGTTTTTAGGGTATAGCTAATCTTCTGTATATCCCTTTATGTGATTCAAAACCGTGTATTACATGTGGGAGTCATTTCTGAATAACTCAATCTTTTCACTTTTTTCATGAAGGAGAATTTAAAAAAAAAAAAAAGGGTCTTGCTTTAAGTAGCAGTAGGTGTTCCAAAACCCCTTTATGTAGTTTATTTTATTTTCTTGCTTACATAAATTTGAAAGGACAGAAGCAGCGACTGATTGGTGATGCCTTGAGTAATCAAAGGGGCCTGCTAACAAATTTCAATATTCAAATAGAGCTGTAAAATTTCATTTGAGTGTAGAGGTTGAGAACTATTATATTCTGTTCATATAGATCCTGAAAATTAGACATTTATTTTTGTTTTTGGTGTGCTGTCAATTAGAATAGCATACCAAAAATCTGGGCAATATAGATTTTGTTGTCAAGAAGCTGACTCTTCTGGACTTGATATGCATGCAGTCCTTTAATAAAAAAAAAATCTATCTTAATTCTTGCTAGTTTCTGACCTTCATGCTATTAGTATATCCCAAACACCTTAACACTTAACCTCAAGGAATAACAGATTCAGGCAACAACCGAATCACGACCTTCTTCTTCCATCAGTATCAGTTGACTAAATCTTTGTTTTCTTTGTTTATAGCTCTAATTATCTTGTTAGCCATCTTGTTTTTCTAATTGTCTTCTTACCCTTTTGCAGAATAACTCAGATTATCGGTACACTGATATTGCCAAGCAGGAATTGATTGAAGTGTGGATAATGATCACTGAGCTTAAAAAGTAAAAGTTACTAACGAGTCTTGTTCCTAAAAAGAAGGCTATAGGAATAATTCAGGAGTCTGTGTCAGAAAGTCATTTGGTACTGCTTGAGTATATCAAAGAACTGGTTACTTCTCAATATGCAAACATCTCAGAAACATGAATTTTCTTATGGCTCTGGCAGGTTCTACGATGAGCCTGTGCAAAATCCGGAGTCATATTGCTTACCATCAAGTGAGAACCTAGACAATTACTCTTCCTCTGATAACAGCAGCCAAGCAACCTACCCTCCACTCCAAACATTAGAACACCATTACACCCTTGAACCTGCTTCAGCAAGCTACGGTTTCCCTTACCAAAATTCTCCCCCTGCTGTCGGTTTCTCACCTAACTATAGCCCAGTGTCAAAGCTAGGTTCAGCATCATATGTGTTAAGGCCACAGCATTCTCTTGAAACTATTAATGGCTCACCTGAGAATGATTCTTACTCAACACATGAACTTGATGAATGGAATAAGATAAGAGAGATTGAAGCTTCTCTGCTGGGACCTAATGAAGACATGCTAGATATATATGATGCTGTACTTCCAGAAATATCTGATTCATTTTTGTCAGAGGAAGAGAAGTTGAAGAAAATGATGATATCTAGAGGGGATTTGAAAGAGATGCTTTATACTTCTGCAAAAGCAATGGCTGTGAATGATATGGAGACAACTGAATGGCTGATGTCAGAGTTGAGTAAAATGGTGTCCATTTCGGGCAACCCAATGCAACGATTAGGAGCATACATGTTGGAGGCTCTTGTTGCAAGGATGAGGTCTTCAGGAAGCACAATATACAAATCCTTAAAATGCAGTGAACCTACTGGTAATGAACTACTTTCATACATGCATGTACTTTATGAAATATGTCCATACTTCAAGTTTGGCTATATGTCAGCAAATGGAGCAATTGCTGAAGCTATGAAGGATGAAAGTGAAGTTCACATAATTGATTTTCAGATTGGTCAGGGAAGCCAATGGGTGAGTCTAATCCAGGCGCTTGCTCGCCGGCCTGGAGGACCGCCAAAGATCAGAATAACTGGTGTTGATGATTCCGTTTCTGCTTATGCCCGGGGAGGGGGGCTCGATATTGTGGGAAAAAGGTTGTCAACACTTGCACACTCATGTCATGTACCTTTTGAGTTTCATGCTATCAAAGTTTCTGCTTCTGAGGTGCAACTTGAAGACCTTGAACTTAGACCTTATGAAGCTGTGGCTGTGAATTTTGCCATTATGCTGCACCATGTGCCAGATGAAAGTGTGAACAGTCAGAACCATCGCGACCGGTTGTTGAGGTTGGCAAAGCACTTGTCTCCTAAGGTAGTGACTCTGGTTGAGCAAGAGTTCAACACCAATAATGCTCCATTCTTGCAGCGTTTTGTTGAGACAATGAACTATTACTTGGCTGTTTTTGAATCAATTGATGTTGTTCTGGCAAGGGAGAGCAAAGAGAGGATTAATGTGGAACAACATTGTTTGGCTAGAGAAGTTGTAAACCTAGTAGCATGTGAAGGGGAAGAAAGAGTGGAACGTCATGAGCTTTTGAATAAGTGGAGAATGCGTTTTATGATGGCTGGATTTACACCTTATCCATTGAGCTCCTTTATTAATTCTTCAATCAAGGATCTTCTGGAGAGCTACCGTGGACATTACACTCTAGAAGAGAGAGATGGTGCACTATATCTTGGTTGGATGAATCAAGTTCTTATTGCCTCTTGTGCTTGGAGATGAAAATCCAGTGATAGTTGGTTCATTTTTGTTACTGCAGGCTTTTAGTTAGGTTATGTATCATCCTTATCTACTTTATAGAGTTTCTCATTTCATAGTCAAATACTTTTTTGTTAAAGAGCATCCAAAAATGTTATGTAAGCAATACCAGTAACAGCAATAAAGACTATATATTCTGAATTTTCCTTTGCAATGTGTTTTAGAACATATACTCTTTGCCACAGATTAAAAGGATAGTGACAATTTGTAATTACAAAACATGTACGCTGAAAACTATAACAAAACAAGGAAGTATGCAACTGGGATTTTTTTACTACAATTTTATTTTCTAAGCTAAATTGTATTTCTCTTAACTTGGTTGGATCGGATCCTTCATATTCAGTTATTCACCATATGCACAACTGCTCTAGCAATTATCCTGCAAACCATTACAGCTCCTCACATTCTTTATTCTTGTATTGGCAATTTGCTGTCAGTCAACACCTTGTTACTTGAATTCAATTGAATATGGGTGTGTTCTATGTTGAAAAATGAATTCAATTATTTGGCAACCATTATGGATCTTTAGACTTTCTTCACAGATTTCCCTTGGCAGCATCACTCATTGTTTTACCATAGAACCACAACAAATCATTTTTATACACTATATTGTTGGATGCCTTGGATATTTCTCATAGGTTTTCTTCATCTTTCTCCTTACTTTCCAAACATTTCAATGACTTTGCAGAATAGCTCACCCTGAAGGCTGGTCTTACCTCTCATTGGCTTCAACTTCAAGGTGTTCATCCAATCATTGTTGTAAAGAACTAATTCAACCCAAAAGATCGAACACTGTACACTGAGGCTCTGATACCATGTAAAGGACAAATTCAACCCAAAAGCTTAAACTGTTGAATGAGGCTACGTTAATGATTTTATATATCTCAACAATTGTGATAGTCATTGAGGTGACAAAACTGGACCGTCGGGTTGGCTCGTTCAACCCGTCACAAATAGCAGGTTGGGTTGGAATTCCCAACCCATTTGAATCATTCCCACATATTAATCAAGGGGAATGCTATTCTCATTTTACATGAGAGTAGTTCTCTTATGATACATAGAGAGACCAATGGGGCCCATCATTAAAGGAAAAAAAGAAAAAAGAAAAAGAGTAGGTGAAATTTTCGAAGTGAGATAACATGAGATAATTATCTCATGTAAAATAAGAGTAGCATTTCTCATTAATCAATGATCTCTTTAGTCTTTATTATCCTTTACATCTATGGGGGTACAATTTTTAAAAAAATTCACATTTTTAATATATGAACGGATTGGCGAGGCGGGGTGGAGCAAAGCTTTTGCCACCTCTTACAGATAATCTCAACAATTATTTTGATGGATGGGTTTCCAATACTCAGACTTGCAATTACAAGGAACTAGCTAGTGACATAGATAGTTGGGAAATGGAAACTGAGATGAGAATTTGTATTTAATACTAAATACTTCAATATCCTTCATTGGTCAAAATCATAGTTGTTAGAATTACATAATTCTAATAATTCGTATTATGTAATAAATAGCAAATGGCTTTGACCTATGCAAGTGTTGCATGAATCGGTGCAATTTCGCATCAATATGAATCACATATTTTGGTGTTTTCTTTATTATTAGAAATTGCAGATTTAAAAAATATATTTATATTGTTAAATAAAAACTAAGTTAAGGAGAGTTGGTGAACGCAACCTATTTGATTGTTTCATGGTTTTGTTTTCATTCTTTTGAATCAGGGCTTTTGGCTTTGCACATTCATTCACTATACGTATCATATTTGAGTGTTGCTGAGTTCCATTCTTCTGAAACTTTCATATCAGCTTCTTTGACTATTTTATTTCTGTATTTTTGGCGTTTTGAAACACCTGCTTTATGCAATCACTTTATACGGCTTCTAAAACTAAGAAGGGTAAGAAGTAATTTTGTTAAAATCGAGTTTCTACGTAGAAATGGAAAAGAATAATAGAAACGTAAATCATAGAAACGACACGAAACATAAAATTTTTACTACGTAAGGTCAAGAAACAAAATTATATATATGCATGTGAAAAATAAATCACATAAGTCATTACTCAAAATCAATTAACAACTTTATATTTAAAAGATGTAAGTCACATAACTATATAAGACAAATCCAAAAACAAAAAGAGTTTAACAACTCCTATAACTAAGTTTACCAAAAAAAAAAAAAAAAAAAAAGCTTAACAACTCTTAAATGAAAATACAGCAACCTCACACTGACGGTTTTTTTTTTTTTTTCCAGATAGCTAGAAAAAATACTAAGCACATTTGAGTTAGGGGAAAATGAAAATAGGGTTTTTTTATTTTATTTTTTTAAAAAAATAAAAATAAAACTGGGTATTGGTTAAAAATTGACCCGATTCAATTTTTTGATTTAAGTAAAAACATAAAAACTTACGTTTCTACCAATTTTACAGAGTTTTTACTAGTTTTTGCCGAGGAGAGTTTGCGTTTTAACACATATCACTTCAGTAACAAACGTAAAAATGTAAATTCTTACACTAATTTTTAACAACAATGGTAAAAAGAATGTCACTTTATTGGAGTTTAATATCTCCTTAGTGAAATGTAAAATTTAATTTTTACTTAAGACTTTTGAGTATTGTATTCATGTTTTAAGTGTAGAAATTTGCACATTTAACTATTTTATTGGTGTGTTTCTCAATCAGAATTACCATTCACGACTTAAAAATTAAACAAGTTTTACAAGTTTCAATAGGAATCACAATGTGACAACTAGGGTCAAAATGCTTAATGGGGAAAGACAGCAAGCTGAATAAATGGTTTTTTTTTTTTTTTTGAATAAAATCAAAAATATCTTCTACGAGAAGCAATCTTATTCGGGACAGATCTAAAATTAAAGTTTTAAACCTCTTTCAAAATGATATTAGGGAGGAGAGAATACATACTCTCAACCCCCCCATCCCCCCACCTGCTCAGTTCTTATGTGCCAACTGAGCTATCATCATTTGGTAATGATTATTCTTATTATAAAAGTAATGCAACTTACTTTCACACACCTGTTATTGCATCTGAATTAAACCTGCATATACAAGTATTATTCAATCTACAGAAACTTATACGGTATTTTCACACTAAAGTATGCGCAAAATAGTGAGAAAAATAAGTTCATAAGAATTACTTCATGCATTCCATTCACACGTCCAGAAAGTTCAGGAACAGGCTAAACACTACTTCTTATAAATAGTTTAATTCAAACACTTTTACAAGGGTTTTTGTCAAACCAACTTTGGTATCAGCTTCATATTTGTACAGAAGAACTTGTTTATAATAATTAAACAAACAGCAGTTAGATTTAAAAGTCAACCTGAAGGAACACGGTTACTACTAATTCTAATGAAGAACAGCTCTCAAATAGTGATATGAACATAAAAGAACTATCAGCATATTCAAATAGAAAATGAGGAGCTATATGCTTTTGAAGCTTTACCCGCCAAAAATAAGAAAGTAAAATGATACTCAGAATTTCATTTTATTTATCTTCTTGTGTAAACAATTTCAAGGACCCATTATTATTCTTCCCATGTTCTGCGGGCAAGGATAAGCAGAATGGTTTAAAGATGTACCATCACTCTGATTATCTCTAGAACCATATTGATTTGAGTTGTTATTTAGAACACCAAAGTATACTGGAGCTGAAGTATGAACAAACTTGAAATTGGAATTGCTGGTGTGAGTTTGACCGTCCCCAAATTCTGAAAGCATCATTCTCCCTTGCTTGTTTGAACTATTTTCAGCAGAAGGGCTAATACCCATCCCAAGGTCAAGGCTAATAGTATCACTTTCTTCTGGCCTAATTCTTGTTTGTGCACCTGCAGCTGATGATCCTGCCATGTCATGGCAACTATTCCTTGCAGTTGGTACATCATGATTGTGTTTACCCTCGTATGTTGTTATTACAGCTTTAGGATCATTGGATGCTCTCTCCACATGTTTTCTTACAGGGCAACCGGCATTCGTGCATTTGTAATAACTCCTGAATAATAAAGTGAAAGCGATGAGAAACAAGAGCACCCAAAAATATGCAATTAAGCACAACATTTTTGTCAAATACAATAGTAAGGATCATAGACAGACCAGCCAAGCTCATCATGGTCTATGCATAATAAATATTTGTTTCACATTCCACGCTTTAAAGTTCTTGCCAAAGCACCAAAATGCAATTACATTACAGTAAAAACACAAGAAGCAACATTTTTAGATTCAACACTACAGTATTGGCAGCCAAATTAATAATCTTTCCATAAAAGAGAAAGGTTTGAGACTTGAGATGCATGAAAGGAGTAGCACATTCTCCAGTATTAAATCTGTGATTTTACAGATGATTCCTAGGACAACTATTACACCTAAACTGACTCAGATTAATAGATCTCGATTTATAGCTACTTCCTATTAAGTGCCCAGCAACTTCAGAAAATTACATTAACAACAGACCATTAATTGTTGAATTGGGGTCAACCACACCAATCCTTAATCAAAATTAACAGGAAATCCTGACATTTGGGTAGAGATTATCACAAATTCTTCTGCTCTGAGAAATGTTAACCTGGGATAACTTTTAGCGCATGAGTGAAATTCCACTAGACAGGAGTTTAACTCTAAAGTTTAGTTGACTTGGTTCTTATGACAAGAAATTACAGGAAAAGTAGAAATTTTCATTGCCATTTATTGAGATTCTGAACTAGACTTATAAAGAAATATTAATTGAATTATTTTAGAGCATATGAAAATAACATGTAAAAAGTACTTCCAAGATATATTTAGTGCCACCATAGTAGAGCATAAAATGACCAAGGTCCTTAACAAAAGTGACCAAGGTCCAAGACGATAACAAATCACATGGAAAAGCCTCTCAAAATTGATGGATCAGCAGGCTTAAAATTTGCAATTTCTTACAAGAGACCTTTGTCGATCCCAATTGTTTGTATCCTTGTTGAATATGAAAATGGGATCAATTTCAAGCATCTTTCAGCTCAAATAGAAAGTTCTCGAGTTGAAATTTGTATAGCATAATTTTGGGTCAGCCATGGATCTAAATACTAAAGGGGAATCCTCAAAGTGAAAAGGATCCACATCCTTATGAGGAATGCAGGTTTTTAAGTCAACGACAAAATTCCAGCTAGTATTATAGTTAGAATATTTAGAACTAGAGAAGAACTACAATATTTGGCTAACAGGTTGTGGGAAACAATGAAATAAAAAACAGCTTTAGAACTAAGTCCTACAATTTTCACAATCAGTACAAATGAGAGAATATCTTATTGCCCTTCCTTTTTCCCCTAATTTTCCTTTTAGCTCACTATTAGCCTACAATCATAGCTGTCCAAGTATTGACATATTTTCCTCTGGGAGCATTGGAGCAACATGTATTCCTCCATACTTTCTTGATCCAAGTACCTAACACTCTACTGTCACGTGCACCACTGTGTTTCTTTGCATATTCTTAGCTATGATGCTCTTTATATTCAACTTGTTTCCTTAACCATTATGTATTTTAATCATTCTAGTTCCTTTTGAAACCATCATCACCACCGGTCCTTAATGCAAATACCATGCTGGTATATTATATCAATCTACCTGACATCAACCTTCTACTTCCTCCTATGACTCTGCAATTATATCATTATAATAGAGCTACTTCTGAATGAATCTTAGAACTACTTATAATAAATCCTCGCATACGCTTGAGACTTAGAATTCAGAATATACACCATTTCAGAATCTATCATAGAAATCTACTCTTTCCTATTCTAGAAACCATGAAACATCATATACTACACTCACTCATGCTGTGAGTGAGGACGAGATTGTCTCAGCCTTCTCAACAGTAAGAAAAAACTAAATAGTTTAATAATATACATGCAAAAAATCCTTTGATGAAGGACATTTTTTAAAATTTAAATTGGATATCGTCAATTTAACGTGAAGACATACCGAGGGTTAGGATTGCCTCTCACCACCTTCTGCCCATATTTACGCCAGCGGTAACCATCATCCAATATATCAACCTCACTCAGAGTTTGTACAACGACCCGTGGCTCCCGGATAGGCTTAATTACAGGAGTGATGTCAGCATTTCCAAGATCCATTTTTCTGCTCAAAAACTTGTAATCAGAAAGTAAACACAAGCAGCAGAAAGAAACCTAGAGCTTTGGCCTAAATTGTCAAACCTTCGCTTTGAGAAGAGATCATCATCATCAACCTCATCATTATTCTGGTTTGACAATAATCCCGTACCCTCTAGACTATCATCATTTGTTGCTACAGGTGATAACTCTGGGGTACTGTTGGGCTCAGTTGTGTGAGACATCTGGCCATATATATTGGATCCTTTATCTACAATCCAAGAATTAGAAGAAAAAGAAAGCCACATTATTTGCTTAGCAATAAGTAAGAATAAAATGGAATTAATGAGAATCATCAGGCTGGTAATACCATCTCGGCTAGTCAAAGAAGCCTTGTCCGATCTCTCTTCTTGCATAGACACAATAGTTCCAGCAGAGTATCGGCGGTTTGGTTGAGGTTTAGGATGATCATGTGTTCCCTTGTAAATTATCTCAGTGATTTGCCCATCATGAGAGCGTTCAAATAATTTCTTCACTTCACAGTTAGGGTGTGTACATTTGTAATAACTGCGTGGAAATTCACTTCCTTTAACATGTTTCTGCCCATATTTTCGCCAATTGTATCCATCATCAGATGCTCTCTCAGCTGCAACTGAAAGTCCACTGCCCCTACCCTCAACTTGTGATGCTTGAAGCCCAGTTGCAATGTTTCCCCTGTGGTTAGATTCATCCAAATCGGCTTCAACATGAGCATTAACCCCTGAGCTAACCATTTTACCAGGTGATGATAGACTTAATTCATTTGAAGGGACTGCTATCTCACTTTTGACTAATGGTGGTGAGGCAAAAGATTGAGCTTTTTCTTGACCATCTATTTGAGTAGATTTTTCACTTGCATGGTTGTTGAAGTCCACAGGAACCTTAAATAAAGTGAATAGCATTGTGTAAGTACTATGCAACCAGTAATCTTCAATACAAAATTAAACAGAATGTGAAACATGGAAAACCTCCCCCACCCCCCTCCAAAAAAAAGGGAAAAACAAAAAAACTAGCAAAAAGATTATAATACTTTTGGGATTGGTTTAGTCTGGTATGACAAAGTGATGAGTAACAGTAATATATTTAGTTAATCTTCCTATCTTGTTAACTTAGTACACAGGTTATAATCAGATATAATTAAAGGAGAAAAAAAATCGAATTCAAGTCCATTTGTCCACCTTATTTGAAAGTTTACATTCATCAGTTTTCATAACATACCATATTTGATCTACTGTGTGGTTTAAACTCAAAGAAGCTAGATTTTCTGTCATCAACATTGTTGGTATTGAAGCATACGTTTGTTGCAGGAAATGTAGCGGATGCAGCAGAAGTCACAGAACCATGTGCGGTTAGATGAAGCCTAGGAAGGGACCCTGTAGTTGGGGAAGGTTCCACCTGCAAGCCATGAGAAAATAATATATAATCTACAGCCCTCCAAGTGCAGAAATTGCTGAATGAATTGAATAATCACATAACATAAAATGTAAAATGATATAGGAAAAAAAATTAATTTCTCAGAGAAACAAAATGGAAAGAGAGGGAAAAAGCAAAGGACAAAATCACAGGTATTTTCAGAATATCTGGAAAGCCTATGGCCCCCAACAGCAGCCGATTGACCAATGAATCAGTAATAACAACAGATAGAAAGCACATACATAATCATCAAAGTTAACCATACAACTGAGCAGATTTATCAGCTACCTATGCAGAAAGACCCAATTACTATTGAGGATAGCATAGTTCGTCACTTTTTCCTCTCAATAACATGGCATGTTGTCTATTTGGAGTATTTTAGAGTATATATGACAATAAGATAGACCATTAAATTATGATGTATGGAACTTATATAAACAAAACTTAGAAAAGTCATTGCCACATGAATCTTGCACAGCATAATGCAAAAATTAGGACCACCAAAACTACTAACATCAAGACAATCACGTCCTTTCACAAAAAACAATCTTAACCCACAATCTTAACATTCTTTATACTATTCCCATGTCATGGCATAAAGAACTAAAATGGATCCACTAATCCTTGGCAATGCATTTATTCGTTTGTTCCACATATTTAAATGGGGGAAAAAAGGATTTCCTGTATACACTACAACACCGTTGAAATAAAAAGAGGAAAGCACCAACACAAAAGGAAGATTCATTATGTGAAAAAACAACAGTGACACAAAAAATGACAATGTTGAGCGATCATAAGGGAAAGTCATATTCCAACAGAATACCGTATTGAGCATAAAGCAGCCAATACATAATTATATAAGAGCAAGCATCAGAATTTAACGGTCCCAACATAACCACTCATATAAATAAAATCGACTAGTTGAAAAAGATCAAACACAAAAACAGGACAACTATAATTATAAGAAAAAATAAACAAATAAATAAAATTAGCCACCACATTAAACAAGCATCTTCAACTCATCAACAATTAAATCACGTCATTTTTAAGTCAAGTAAAAGCAAAAACAAATAAAAAAATACAAATAAAATTATTCCTGCCAAACTATAATAATGCCCCAGATATGCTCTGTTTGGATTCTGAGCATTTGCAAGAAAATCACAATAAAAAGAACAAATTTTTTATATGCCACTCACATTGGGTGGACTTCAACTTACTTAGGTCAAGTAAAAAAACCATCTTTGACCAAGTTGAGACCAAAAACCCAAACAAAAAACACATTTTGCTAATGAATTCACTTACCCAATTTATTTATTTATTTTATCTTTTTACTTCTTTCTCAGAAACCAAACAGATCAAAACTGAACCTTCACACTACATTTTCTAGTCCCCCCCCCCCCCCCCCAAAAAAAAAAACAACCCTAGAAACCCAAAAGTGAAGTCATTCACCGACCTTCATGTTAGAGAGCAGCACCGGAGATTCCAAAAACGACGTCGGACTCAACCCCGGAGGAATCATGACGCACGGCGACCTCGTGATCGGGAGCTTCGCCGGCGACATCAGCTTATACCTAGCGCCGCCGGTGGCGCCGGAGACCGCAGCTTCGTCGGCGCTAGAATTAGGACGCCACCCTGGTCGATTCGGATCGTTCGGCTCCAAGTCCGCGTCGCCGGAACTCCTCCTCCGGAGCTCCAAACCGAAGTGCGCTTCGCCGGCGTCCATTGTGGTAGAGAAAGAGAGAGATTGTGAGTGGTTGAGTCAAAGCAGCAGAAGAAGAAGGAGGCAAAGAGTGAAGGGCAAAATGGTCATTTCTCAAGAGTGCCTTTGGTTTGTGAACGTTTTTTCTGTGTGTTTGAAGCTTCTGTCAGAGAGTGAGACATAGTTGACTCGTAACGTTTGGATCTCTCTCTCTCTCTCTCTCTCTCTCTCTCTTTGTTCTCTCCGTTCTGTGTCATTGGCTTGTCATTTTAAACGTTTTCTGAGGTCTCTTGTTACTGTCCCGCATGATAATTAAATTATTATTATTATTTATTATTATTATTATCATAATTATTAATAATGAGAATTTACATTTAAATCATTTGTCAAAAAAAATATATAATGAGATATGACGAGGATTCAGTAAAGCTTGTTACATATTATGTTAGGTGATAGAATTATAATTTATGTCTGTAATTATATAAAAAATTTAATAAGACCAAGTTTGATTAAATAAAAAAAAATTATATAAAATATCTATGTCTAGATTATTTTTTATGATTATTTTAGATTCGGAGAGAAGGAAAAAGGGCTTATGTGGATTTAGCTTTTAGACTTTTTAAAGCAGTGCGGTGGATGATTTTGTCAAGGAATTGTTTCACTATTGGACAAAGATTTTGTAACAAAATGATTCTTTATTTATTTATTTATTTAAAAAAATAATTCCATTTTTGGTAAGAACAAATAAAAAATTGTTCTTTTGATCATATGGTTTTCATGGGCTAGGTAAGATTTGAAAGGGAAAAGTGGTGTGCCAAGTACCAACTCTATGTTACTCTTTACCGCACAAAAAATCAGTATGAGTGATTGTTGCGAAACTGCATATCCCTTTCTTCAAGTTGAAAGCCAAGGCCACACCAAAATTGGTTCCACAAAGGGTTAGATTCAAATAATTTGATCACCTTGTGTAGGAGAGTCAAGCTGAAGCAATATGAACTCAATGCATGATTTTTATGTCTATGTTATTTGAACTTTGGTCTCTAGACTCTAAATCAAATCAATGAAGCCAATATAGTCGGCTATCCCTTAAAGGGTAACAAACAAGTGATGAGTTATGAGTGAAGAAGCAAGTGGATGGAATAACCAAAACTAGTTCACATAGTCCTATTGTTTTTTAGGCTTTTGTGGGGTTTAGGAACAATCAATTGTAACTTTGGACATTGACTTTAATTTTTCATTGCATCCAAATGAGGCAATTTTTTTTTTTTTTTTTTTGGAAATAATAGAAAATTAAAACAAAAACACAACAAAAAGAAACTAGGCACAAAGCCTAGACCAGTGAACACTTATAGTATCACCATACAGACTATCAATACAACCTGACGGTGGACAATCAAATTCCTGAATTACCCAAGAAAAACCATAAGAGTAGGAGGCTAGAAAGTCCGCTACTCTATTTTTACCCCTCCCTTAAGAATTGGATATTACTCCAATCTTCAGTCACAATAAATATTGAGAATGTTGTCACTTTTCATGCATATACTATAAGATATTGGAAAGAGTAAGTAAATATGTTGGCCTCACAACTATTTATCAATCACTTTTTTTTTTTTTTTTGATACATCAATCACTTATTTATTGATCATGAAGAAAATAGCAAGTAGTTAAAAGTGGTTAAGAAGAAAATTTCTCGACCATTTTTTGGTCCACTGCTGTAATGTATTGGCCAATGAATTAACTATGGTCCTGAAAAGGGTAAGCTTTAGAAGCATTTTCATTAAAGTTTTTTTTTCCTTCATTTTTTTTCTTCCTCTACATAAGGCAGAAAATGAAAAAAGAAAAAGAAGGGTGTACTTATGCCTATCATTAGGTGAAGATAAAGGAAAACAACCGAAAATCTAGGCTTTAAACAGCTTGAGATGCGGTTATAGAAGTATCTCTTTCTGCACTAATAAATTGTACTTTATTAAAACATGTCACATTCAATACACTTGCATATGACATATTCTATTAATATCCAAGTTGCCTCCATTCTCTCTTTGATCTTTTATTTATTTAATTAAACTAAAGCATGACTCACTCATGCCGTGTTAACATTACACTATCGGCAATTTGTAAGGTTTAAAAAGCTTCTATGCACTGAGTATGTAGGATCAATAAAATTATAATTTTACAGAAAATTGATGTCATATTATAAAGAAATGTGATTTGTTAAAACAAATTAATGCTTAAAGCATTTTGGTAACCATTTGGCTAAAAGTGATAGGAACTGACAACTCAATTTAACTTTAGGTTTGATTTGTCTAGCTCAGTATCTACGCAAGAGACATTAAAGTTTCAAGCTCACTTTAATATATGCTAAATTTGAGTTAAAGAATGTTGAACTCATTTGACTTATGAGCCCACAATAAATATTTATCTATTTTAATCTTTACGAAATACAATATCATAATATTATTATTTCATATTTATTTTATGTTAATTTATTTCATATGTAGTAAGGTTAGTTACATAATATTAATGTGTGCACGCGTGCACGCATGCAATATGTGAGGTTAAGATTTAATTTTGATCTTTGACATTGTAAAGAGTTTTGCATTTTCTATATATATTATATGGTTTCACATGCTAAAAAAAAGGTTAAATCATTTTACTGTAACTAAAAATATCTTTAGTTATTATCATGATGTGAAGTTCGTATTAAGTGATAATATAAAAAATTGCAATAAAAGTAAATAAGTTATAAAATTAAAGGAAAACTTGAAAAAGAATATAGTAAAGACAACGGAGAAACATTCTCGGACAAAATGATAGTAAGATTTTTATTGTATTGTGCTTTCTATCTCAATTGTAGATGAACTCTATTTATAAGCTCTAAATCATTAAAAGTTATAATAGAATAAATGACAAATTTTAATTTTTTTAATTGTACAAAAATTAATCCATAAAAATTAAAAGATAAATGCTCATAAATCACATTACACGCTTTTGTATTATTTCTTTGAAATTATGATCATCCACGTGAATATTATTTATAAACATAATCAAATTTAAGCCTTTTTTTCTACTTTATATATTCATTTGATTCATTACTTATAGCGATTCAATTTAGCTAAATTAAATTGTAACTTATAGAGAGCTTAACTCATAATAAACGTATACCTAGAAATTACCTGACATTAATTTCGAGCAAACTATAAGCCAGATCAAATATGATCAAATAGACAGACTTATTGTTTGCTAAAAAATACCAAGTATATAATATATAGTGAAAGAAAAAAGTACAAAAACATTGAGTTGCATTTAAAATTTAAATCTAATCATAAATATGCCAAAAAAAAAAAAGTAGCGTAATTTAATTTTAATATTGTTAACATTGTTAACATTGTTTAGAATATTTTAACCATTTTTCAGCAAGTTAGGTAAAACTGAATTTCAAATACTCAATAATGTTGTCGTTGAATCATATCAGCCCATCTTTTCTTTCTTACTCATGCAATAAACTTTTGAAGGGCTAAATGTAATTCCCTCATCCAAGAATGTGGGTTTAAATTTGATCTAATCCACTGACATGTTAGTACATCATTTAAAAAGTTAAATATCTTAAAAAAAAGTTTTAATTGTCAATTTCCTTTAAAGGAAGATACCCATTACATATACCATATGCATAGTTGCATATTATAATTTGTTTTCACATACATCGTTACAAAACCAAACCTACAACAATATAACTTTTATTTAATTATTACTAACAAATATATCGTGGGTTGAACAAATATTTTAAACATAAGTAAAATTTAAAAAATTCAAAATTATAAGAATATATACATAATTAATTTAGAAAATTTAAATTTAACATTTTAAAAAATAAAGATTAACACATGTTATTTTTTAAAGAAAATATAGTAAAAAACTAATTCACTCTTAAAATAATATAGTCTAACTAAATATATAAGAATTGAACAGCTTATATTTAAATAATAATAATAATGTCAAAGAAACTTAAAAAATATTCAGTTTAAGTAATTAAAGTTTAAGGAGAAAAACTAATGTAAATTTAAAAAAACAATTACGTTGAGAATGTAAAGAACAAAAATAAAAAAAAAGTTAACGTTAAAAGATTTTCATATTAATGAAATTATTTTTTCTTAAAAAATTTAAAAGAATATACTAAATAAGATTAAAATTACATGATTTAAAAAAAAAATCTAAAAAATAAAGGCTACTTTATTATGCAAAAGTGAAATATTAATTACTAATTTCTTATTAGCACAATCATTTCTTTAAATCCTTCTGGCACTTCTTCAATCTTGTAAAAGAAAATTACAACTGGAAAATGTCTAATTATGTCACATTTAAATCCTGTAATCTTTCTCTCTCTTTTTCGGTAAAACTAATCCAGATTTGAGTGGGAAAGAACAAAAAGACGGCATAACTCTCCTTTAACCAATTAAATCCTAGTGATTTTAAAATGTCGTAAAATAACTCATAGTCTCACCCCAATTATTAAAAGGTAATGTAGTAAGCCATTTAAGTTCGACACATTTTTTAAGATGAATCGTCTATTTTCTTCTTCTGAAAGAAATTCTCAACGCTCACTAGCAAAAACCACGAAAGCTAGCTAGTCATGTACGACCCATTTAAGTGCAACACACTGAGAATACGTCTCAACAATCAGTCGAGTAAGCATTTTCATACATATAAGAAACGAGGTCCCTTACATGTTACATTACTGAACCATCAAGACAATAATGTTATCAGTGTTTCGCAAAGGTGAGATGCACAATCCATACAACAGCAAGTAGTAATACAGACACATCTTTTCATAGGTAAAAGATCACTTCATAGGTAGAACAGTTCCAAATTTATCTGATACATTAACTTTCTTAAAATCTCAACACTATTTAATATTAGTGTAAAACAATTGAGAAGTAAGTTAAAACTCGAAAGCAATATATTTAATACAGCTAACAGTAACTTCCTCTAGCTAGAGATAACGAGACTTAACTTGCTGCATAGAAAAATGAATACAGAAACTCCACACAATGGTCTTAGCTTCACCATAGGACCAATACAATCAAGTTGTGCTGAAATTGATAAGAACACCGCACTAGTAGAGATCATGTAGGAAATAAGTACCAAACATTCACTCTCTCAAGTTATCCTAATCATTCTTACCAACCTCAATAGGGAAAATTTCTGTATTTTCTATCATTGACATTTCTCATCTTTTACCAGGCTTTATCTGCTTAAATGATACAAAACCTATGCTGATATAGAGAGCGAAGAGTTTATTT